GAGATATTCCAGACCCGCCTGGACGCAGTCCTGTGCAGCCTGCTGTAGGTGACCCTGCTTCGGCAGGAGGGTTGGACTAGATGACCCACAGAGGTCCCTTCCAACCCATACCATTCTGTGATTCTGTGACTGTGGGCTGTGCTCTTGTATTCATTAGGAAAATAGCTGTGGTGGTTCAAGTTGCTTCTCCCTCAACTGCCAAGTGCCATTTGAGAAATTGAGAAAGCCCAGCCTTCTGGCGTTTGTAGTACAAGCCCACCCTCCGCTGCAAGAGACTATGGTGCCGATACACAGCCCCACAGCTGCCTCTTCTATTGCTGGGCAATAGATTTGCCAGCAGTCACCTGACTGCCAAAAATATGCCTCCAGGTTCACACAGCCAGGGTCTCCAAACCTCCCAGTACAAACAACACAGGCAACCCTTGCCCATGGCTGCTGTCCCATGCAGTTCTTTTAAACTAATGGAGACTTCCCTATGGGCAGGTCTCCGTCAAAACTGGGAGACCAAGCTGTTTCCAAGCTTACTCAGGAGACCAAAGGATGAAGAAGGACTAAAATTGTCAGATTTTTCCCAAGTGCTAAAAGCACATCCTAAGCCTTTTGTAGCACCAAACTTCCAGCTGTGTAGTGCAGCTAGAGTGTCAATAAAACAATCAAACAATCTGTGAAAGACACTGGTCCAGGATCTAAAAAGTTGTGTTGATTGCACTGCTCTTTTGTACATGCTATTTGGGAACAAACTCCATGTTTCTGCTTACCTGAAACTCTTGTAGCACTTGCAATTGGATAGACCTTAGCCATAGGCCTTAACCATGGAGCACGGCCATTCCTGGCACACAGCGCACTCACCTTGTTTTTGATAGGAAGTATTTAGCATTTAAAGGCCTGCTTACTAGAGCTTGTGTAAGGGAACATGTATAATTCATTATGAAATGAATACTGAGTGTATCAGAGCATATCCAAGCATAGCTATAGTCAACTCACAGAGGTTTTCAAGATGTAATAATCTTCACAGCAATACTATTGCTACTTCATCTTTGTAGGATAAGAGTGCATTTTGTATTTGTCTTCCTGGGCTTTCACTTTGCTGCACATCTCCTCTGTGCCTTCTAACTTAATAAATGATTACCAATAATACAAAAGAATTACCACCTGTTCTTCTTTCTACAAATTTCAATATGCCACTAGTGTAAGTTCAGAAGATTTCCTTTTCCTGCGTGGCTGTAAGAAAGTAAAAAGAGAAAGAATGGAAACATTTTTCCTTTTGAGTGCTAGGTAGCAGGCTGCGTTTCTTGAATAATACATACTGGGAGAAAAGATTGGCAAGAGAGGATTTGAGCTCCCTTTTCTAATGCCTGATTCTGTCCACTCTGAAGACTGGGGCTGCTTTGAGTTATGGCACCATCTGTGCATTTCAGGTGGGCATCTCCTGTGTATGTTAGACCCAACTACTTTGCACTAGAGTCGTTTGCTATAGAGCTGTTACCCCCATATATTGCCACAGTAGCTGATGACAAACTAAGCAAGCACCAGACTGAATTACAGCGGTTCCTTACAATTCATTACAATATTTGTTTTGTAGTGAATTGTAATGTGCTGCTTTGGGTGAGTATCTTCCCTCATTTTATACCTTTCCTTCTCTTTTCTGGCATATTGAAAATCTGCAAGTATTCAAAGATTTTTTGACTGATTTTGATTGTAAGCATTCTAAAACTGTTTGACCATTTTATATTCACCTGCTGATGGGAAAGGGTTGCAATTTTTCTTTGAACTGTAAATACAAATTGAGATTCCAGAAGATCTTTCATGGAGTAAGGCCGTTAATTGCCTATATTTTCTGGCAGTATCCTAAAGAGAAAGAGAGTATTGGATTTGTTGTTCATCCATGATTCTTTCCACCTGCAGCATGGAAGGGTCCATCGTGCGCCTGCCAGAGATAGTCTCCTTGAAGAAGAAATACAAAGCCTACCTCTACTTGGACGAAGCTCACAGCATTGGTGCGGTGGGTGCAACAGGCCGAGGAATTGTGGAGTACTTCAGTATGAGTCCTGATGACGTTGACGTATTAATGGGAACGTTCACAAAGAGCTTTGGCGCAGCTGGAGGATACATAGCTGGCAAAAAGGTAAAAGGAAAACAAATATTTTAACATCAAGGAGAGGGAGGTACCTTCTTATTAGGTGTGATGTATTTCACTTTCTTTTCACATAGACTGTTTTGCCTGAACACTATTCTAAAGTTAGCAGCATTTTCGTCTGGATCCCAAATGTACATCAAATAGTCAGACATTTTTATTTTTGTCTCATGTTCATATTCTGTAATTTGCTTGTGCTGGGTATTTCTGTGCCACCCTGATGATTGTTGCTTGTCTTGGAAATGTTTAGACATGTTGTGGTTGTCTAAATATACTTCACTACTTTAATTTGCATGCAGATTTCTCGTTACTTTGTTTCACATTTGTAAACAGTGTGTGGAGCAATATCGAGACATTCAAGCCACAGTTTCATCCACTGATAATAATATTCCTAAACAATTGTGGATTGTCATAGTTGCATTTTTTTTAGGAGGATGGAGAAAGAGGGTTACTGAGGGCCTTTTGCAATAGAAAAATCTGTGTCCTCAGTTGCTCTGCATACATTAAGAAAACAACCTCTTGTCTCCAACAGATGTCAACAAGAAGTAGAGCTGAGCTTGTTTTAACTGGAGATGTAGAAGAACAGAAAGCATAATCAGCACCATTATGAAATGTTATCGGTTTTGCTGCTTGACGGGCATATCAAGTGGTTGCTGATTATTTATCTTTTTCATACCCTGCTGAATGTATTTATTAAGTAGTTTGCTGAATGAGTAGAGAAGCCTGTTTAGACAGCCCACATGGTGGTTGTCAGGATAACTTTAGTAAGGGTAGCACTTGAGTAGAATAAAAGGGTTATAGGAAAGTATGGAGTGTATATTTCTAACTGTCTTTGTTGGTTTTGCATCAGGAGATCTTAAAACAGGCTATTGTAGTACATCAAGAATCAATTTTCTTTGTTTCCTTTGCTTCCTGAATTTGTAGCTGAAGGTTTAACTCTTACCAAAGACAATGTGGCTAATGTAGTTAGAAATTATAGGAAGCCTAGACCTGTGAAAAGCAGTCCAAAGTAATTCATCATCTAATCCTTGTAAGTTTTCTTAAACGAAAGTGGGTCACTCTATTCACGCCTGTGCATATCACTAAGCTTTGCCTGAGGCTTCTGGGCCTTGGTAGCAGCTGCTCACCCAACACACTTAGCACACTTACATTCATTTCTGCAGCCAAAAACTCAGTGGCACTGTTTATTCTGTATCAGCTAGAGCACAGAAGCCTTCTCAGCTATTTGATCAAACCCTTAGTATTACAATTGTAGTATAGCAAAGCATAACCTGTATAAAGTTAGGTAAATATTTAACCGTAGAATTGCAATTACGGCATAGGCTTATACAGATGTTTTGGCAATAATTTGTGTTACTATCTTTTGGGTTTTTTCTGGTGATATTTATTGCCAAAGACAGCTTTCAAGCAAGCCTCATCCCTTTCTCACTAACATGCATTCAGCTTTTAGTGTGGTAACTGTTACTCTGATATTTTTCACTGGGAGGTATAAGCTGTCATAACAATGATGATCTTAATAAAGTGCTGAATTCCTACAGTATCGCTGGATTCAGGAGATTTACAGGTGCTTTAGACATGTCTACAGTACAGCAATGCTTTCTCCAGGAGCACACATTGTGCTTTTAGTTACACAAGGAAATGTTAAAGCAAGCGTATCCACTCTAACGTGACTGTCCCTGCCACACTGAGGGGGAAGTGTCAGCTGAAAGAAATTTATATACTAGTAGCCAAAGATAGATCAGAGTAAGGTTGCTTTTCCTGGGTTATGTCTGGTGGCAGAGAAACTGTACTGATGTCACGTAGGCATTGCTTCTTTCCCACAGAGGAACTGAGCACTATTTCAAGTGCAACTGTTTCTTGGTCTTGAAATTATTTTTGTTCCTTTACAGTAAGTCTTAGAACAGAAGTAAACATTATTCTATTCCAGACTTTGCTTGCAGCTGTAATTGCTCTACTTATATGCTAAAGTATTTGCACCTGCCTGATGTTTCTTCAGGCCATGCATTCACAGCAGGAGCCAAGAAAGCAAACCAATAACAGGGAAATGTCCTCTTCCTTTTCCATGTTCTCACTCCTGCAGTAGTTAAGAAGGAGATCTGCTGTTTGGCCAGCTCAGAGCTCACTGGTGCTTTGTTTTGCTTGTGTTAAGGACCTTGTGGACTTCTTACGAACTCATTCTCACAGTGCTGTGTATGCCACATCTATGTGTCCACCTGTAGCAGAGCAAATCATCAGGGCAATGAAATGTCTTATGGGACTAGACGGGACAGCACAAGGTAAGCCACCTTCTTTAACTTCACTTTCTTCAGTTACTACCAAAGCATCTACTGTGTACGGGTGCATACAAAATGTCATCCAGCAGCAAAGGAGTGTGGTAATACAGTGCAAAGGAAATAATTCTTACTGTAAAATTAATATCCAAATCATCATATTTCTAAGTACTATTGATTCTGTTTCTTTTTCCATGTTTTTTCACATGCAGTAGGGATGGAAATATTTTGGAAATCGGGCTGTAGAGTTGCCAGCTCACTCTGCTTTGCAGCAACAAATAGAAGTACATGAATTGCGCTTTGAGTAGATTGCCTGACTTTGTAGGTAGTGTTCGTAAGGACATGCCTTCATTTATGGGTTAGATGCTGTCAGTTTAGTTTCTTTTTAGGAGTAACCTTCAAAGTGGCAAGCAACACAAGCACAGTGCAGAATTTCAAAACAGGTATTGTATGTTATGTAATAAATAGTATGAGAAGATTATTATAATAATTCCTACCTCACTCAGGCATTAATTAGGGTGTCCTGAAACTAGTTTTGAAGTACATGTTCTCCAGAAAAAAAAAAATGGCTGGTTGATGTCTTTATGAAAAATTAGGTTAATTTATATTCCTCTCCTGAAGCTGCCGATGCAGCTACCATCTAATCCTCTGTGTATCATGCTTTCTATGCAGCAAGCAACAAAACAACTGTGTGACATATCTCTGCTACTTTTTCAAAGTAATACTGATATGTGTTCAATGTTCTAGGACTTAAATCCCAACTTGGAGAAAAGCTGGTGGGTTTTGTATTTGTCTAAAAAAAAAAAGGAATGCCCAAGAATCGTGTTATTGTGTAACATGCAGTTAAAGGCACAGATTCTGCTCTGAAGTGCAATCTCTTTCATGCCGGTCCAGCAGCACTGTGCTGTGCTATTTTCTCTTACCTGGTGTAGGACTAACAGACTAGTTCCGAGTTAGTCCTCCCTGATAGCTGTGACTGGGGTAAGGGGGGAACAGAAAGGAAAAGGGATATATGAGAACAGGTGAGATGCTGCTCTGTTGCAGTGCCCTAGAGGGCGGTTTCAAACCATGATAGACACGAGGCTCTTATGACGTTTATCACAGCCCTTCAGTGTGGTCAGAATTTACAAGACCCCAGCGTACAAAACGAGGTGTGGAGGATCCAGTCCCAGGGCCAAATTCTGCTGAGTGCAACGACGAAGCGCAGCAACACTCCAGCGCAACATGTAGACAATGAGGAAAGGACGCTTTTGTCACTTTGGCAGAGATGTCGGAGCGTAACAACTGTTTCCAGCTTGAAATTTGAAAGGTCAAGGTTGCGTATGCTGATGGCTACACCCTGCTCCGTGTCAGAGAGACCGGCTCTGACATCTTTCCTTTCCCTGCCTTGGGGGCTGTGCGCCAGCTGCAGCAAATGCTCGCCGTCAGAGGAGGGCGGTCTTACCCTGAGCATCCCCCAGAGTTACATGCCTGAGGCTCTCATAGATGCCGCATGTAAAATATTAAACATGCAAAGCACTTCCAGACCTTCAAAGCCTCTTAAAAATGATTTTCAGCTAGAGTGATTCTGCACACAGTTCAGTGCAGGCAAACAGGAAAACTTGGTGCAAGATGGAGTCTTTTAAGATGTGCGAGTCTGACTGTCCTAGGGCTAAGAATTTGTAGCATTTTCTCTTCCAGAAGCAGTGTTGTTTAATGACACAATGTTTGTGTTTCTGCACAAAACAAGTGCTCATTAAGTCTTCTGCAAATCCTTTATGAAATAAATCAGTGTTCTGTCATTTTAAAAAAATTTGTTTTGAAATATGAAATGCAAATGAATAGAAGAACGAAAGAATAAATCATATATCACAACTTAGAGTATTGCACAAAGGCTAGCAAACTGGCTATGATGTGTAAAAATGTTTCTTGTCTTTCTGAGCCAGAGACATTATTTTAGTCTATTGGTTTTTCTTTCATGTGGGCCTCCCTTCATTAGGCTGTCTTGTGGACTACAAAATGAAAAAACACAACCCAAACACAGGAAAAAATGTTACACTGGACCACTCTACAATGCTGTTTTGGCATCAGAGAGAAGGGAGGTGGTGGCTTAGAAATGAGGGGGGAAGAGAAGGGGGAAAGCACTGTCTCTTCTTAGATATTTTTCTTTCCAAGGACAACAGCAGCCTTGGCTGAGTTCTTTTGGTCTGCTGTCATAGAAAATGGTGAGTCCTGGATGTGAGCTGTACTTGTGAGAGCATCAGCCATGTAGCAGAGGCACCTGGCAGAGAAGTTTCAAGTGAATCAGAGTTGCTACAGGGTTGTATAGACCCTTTGTTCTCTGGATGCCTGTTTAATTTTTAAAACGAGTTTATTTTGCAATTTATTTCAAATAGCATTCTTTTCCCGCAGGATGATTCGGGGAGTCCTTTATAAGTAGATCTCCACTGATGTCTTGTCCTCCAGAGGACATTTCTATAGGGGAGGGAGCTTTGCAAAAAAATACTGGAAAGTTTTGGAAACGAATGAAATTAGAAGTTGCTAAAAACTTCCATGTTAACTAGAGGGTGCTTCTTGAAAAGAGTATGAAATAATGGGATGACAAATGTGTTAACCCAGTGTCCTGGGTTCAGCCAGGACAGGGTTAATTTTCACCGGAATCCAGGAAGGGGCACAGCCGGGCGGGCTGACCCCACCTGGCCAAACAGAGCCCGGTATTCCATACCATGTGCCATCATGCTGGGTTCCGGTGGGGG